TCATATCTATCAATGCTGATCTAGAAAAGAGACCTAGACATGTTAACAATTATTATAAGCGCGTACCAAAAACTTACCAATCGTTCTTGAATAATGGCTTTCGAAATTTCCGAGCTTCCAATAGCAAAAGTTGTTGTTACAAAACGATACTAGAATAACAATGGAATTTTGAACCAGCACTGTAACAGCAACGAGAAACGCCAGAAACAAAAAGCAACGTTTTTTTGATAACGAGCGTTTAAACTTCATCTCAACAAAAGAGTGAGATTTAAACTGGCCTGCTAGAAAAGGATATAAATTATATTTACCATAAAGAAAGGGTAAATATTGGAAAATTTTTTGCTGAGTTGTTGCCATAGTTTCTTTTTTACCTTCAGTGTTGTCATGGAACTTGAAAGTATTTAAAGAATATTTTTTACACATTCGAATCAGTTTCACACTTCTCCTTTTGGGATGAAAAATGAAAAAAGGAAAATTTAAATATTTTAAGTTTATTTTATGGAAGTATTGGACCGCACTTGCTGGTAGTTGAAAACTGTTATTCACAATTAGTTCATATTTTTTAAGGTTGAGAGCGCGATCACTTATACCCATACAAACGTTTGTATTTCGGCCGTTGCCGATTGCCAACCGCTGTTCGGGAACTGGAGCCCGCGCTCCTCCCCGAACCCAAAAAGACCGGACTCGCGAAAGCGGAGGAAATCAAGCCTAGCCGCTGCGCAATGTCAAAATATGTGCGTAAATACGGAGGTTCATTTTGCGACCTTAAGCTACCTGTGTTTATATTTTTAGCCAAAAAGTTGGCAGTGTCATCTAGGCATTTATAGATTATGCTAGTAAAAGTGTCTTAGACACGTGTCTACTTATACCGCATGTTGTATATCATTGGATCTACATAATTTGCTGATTAAAACAAAGTTAGTAGACTATGATTTAAACGGTAAAAATACTCTCTATTCATAGAAAAAATAAAATTGCCCCTAAGATTTATGATGTACCGGTCACATCTATTAAGATATTTATGCAAGAAAAACTTCTGTTTTGAAACGCGTACAATACTGAAATGACTGTGAGATGTTTATCGCTTCAGCAGTCTTCCATAGTGTCACGGCAAGAACTGAAACATAATGTGCCAGGTGATACCATCCAGAAATTAAAAAAGAAGAGAACTCAATTGTGTATTTAATGTCAATGTTGAACAACTAAGATACTCCAAAAAAAGATATCACTGGGAAACATCGGGTCACGTGGTCTGAAATGGGTAAACAACAGTCGCGTCTGTAACTGCCACATATTTCCAAAAATTCTGATTTATCTTTTCATAAGTACCTTAACTCTTTTCTAGCAACCAAAGAGAATAACACTTCCGGGACAAATTGCATCGCATTAGAAAGCACGCGATAAGTCACATATTGGGAACGAGTTTCAACTTCAATGCTCTTATGCAATGTTGCCATCCTCCTTCTAAAAACGAAATAAGCGATATTTTTGAAGGCACTTTATCAAGCTAGGGACTGCAGCATTACATTACAACGAGCCTGTAGTTAACTGTTAATCATTCATGCGTATATATCTCCCCTAAAAAGAAGATTTGCGGAGAGATTGTTTTTTAAGATGTTAAAGGTAATTACATGCTTTAAACGAAATTCCTTCCTTCAGTCTTCGGGTGTCATCAGACATAATTGTTCTAAAACGTTGGTTAACAACGCATTCTTCTTTCAAATTGTTTAACAACGTTTGGTCAATAACCCATTCCTCTCTCGCGAGATCAAACTGAATTTCCTCGATCTAGCTTAGACCTACAGCCCAGACGCAATGGTGGTGTACTTCTATGTAATCATCTTCTCGTACATCGTGAAACGTCGCGAGACCCGCATTCACGATTCAGTTACCACGAAAATGTAAAAATATTGGTTTTGAACACCTTTGTTCTTTTGTTGTCAGTGGTGTCAGCTTCCCAAGCACGATTCACACAATGCAACTTGCTCCTTGCGGTAGGAGCGGCAAGGGCAGACACGAACGACACCAGGTTTTGCTGCCCGGCAGCTGAATAGAAGTGTCTCACTCTGTAGCATACACGTGCTATCTGCTGTGTTCATTGATGGTGCTAGGATACTGTCACGTGGTTCAATCGTTGATAGATTGCAAGGCATCTCGGCTCTGATGAAAGAAAACATGAATCAACCATACACAATTGAGCATTTTCGTTCGAAGCACATCTTTACGTCTATTGTTCACACTAAAACGCTTGGAAACACGGATTTTCCAGAAGCGTCAAAAGTGGAAGAAAAACGCAGATCGTCTTTTCTAATCGCTCCCTTTCTTGCTTGGACAAGGGAAAATGGAAGGTTTTGTAAATCAGAATGTTTGCATTTCGAAATGAAATACACAATCCTGTGGACAGTTGAGAGGAAGCCAAAACGCTAGTATGGCTGGAAATGTTAAGTATTCCCTTTTTTTTTCGCTTATCCCAAACGGACGCTTTGAAAGTGCAATTGTGTGGTGGAGGCATAAAGAAAGATGCTGTACGTTTTTGGCAAGTAGTGAATAAATCAAAATATTTTGCTAGAGAAAATGAGGTCCCCTGCTAACTTCAAACCAGAGGACAGATGCTCTATAAACTCAGCTTAAAAGAAACATAATTGTATTTTGTATTTTTGTATTTTTGTATTTTTATTTCCTCCATTTCAACACATTAGAATCTAGTGAATAATTACAAGAAAGATAAGAAGATGGAGAAGGGCATAGTAATAAATTCCCTTATTTTATATGATAAAAAGAAGCGATAGAAACATAAGATACAAATATAAGAGAGGGAATGGGAACGTCACACCTTAAGCAACAAATGTATGAGTAATTCATGGCCAGAGGAAGACATAAATTAGAAGATATTAAAAGAAACATATACTACGCTCAACTGTGCACATAATGTCGCCAACCCTTTACACTCAAAAGTCAATATGCAAGTTCTCCATTTTGTCATCTATCGAAAGAGAATATAATTATCCTCTCTAGTCTCCATACATCTTCTATGATAACTATGAGCAATCAAGGGCTTGTTCAGTTTGCGATCGTTTTCTTTATTTTCATGGCCTTAGTGTATAATTCAGGGGTGATACCATTGGGAAAAATTAGATGCCCTACCTTTTGAGCGCGTCTTGTGTATTAATTGATGGGAAGAAAGTAGGCTCACAGACAAGACCTTTGTCCAGACAGGTAAACACACACGATTGACCATCTTTACTGATCGCGGTTTTCAGCTCTTTGATAGGAGGCCAGTCATTAGGGCGACAAAAGTCCTGAATTAAGGAAAAACCATCATTGCATAAAAGACTCACAACTTCTTTCTTATCTATAGATAGATGGAACTTCTAAAGAGAGAGGGTAAAGTTGGATTAGGCGTGAAATTTGCCATAAAGTAGTCGAGGAGGGAGAAGAGAAGCCATTTCTCTCCATAACTATTAATGTTAGTAACATTTACAGTGCAGAGAAATAAGAACAGCAGGCCCTCTTTGTTAGCATGTTTGCACGATTGTTTCTTAGCATGTTTGCACAAGCGTCTCTTAGCATGTACGTACGAGCGTTTCTTCGCCCGCGCGAAAATATGTGTCTTAGAGCAACACAAGCCAGCAAGAGGTCTCTAAAAAAGGTCTAGCACTGCCATTAGTGCCAGACACCGGGAAAACCTCTCCCAGAATCGTGGCAAATCTTTCCGCGTCAAAACACGTATAATATATAATTAGAGCCTCCTAGCAAGTAGCGAAAAAACTCGTAATTAAGTATGAGTTAAGGTATCGCGCAATACGATTGAACAATAGTTGGATGCGACGGCCATCGTTGATACGGAAAGTATGGCATCAAAAAAATAACAATTATTATAATAAAAAACCACACATACACAAAACAACAACAACAAAAAACCTCAAACAAACAAAAAATTAAGCAGATGAACTAAATAAGTGCATACATGACTCTGAGACGTATGGGGTAGAAATATGAATCCTTTCGCACCGGCACCAAACTCATGCGCCATTCCTGACCATCATGGATAAAAAATACTTTGTAAGAGATGCAAGCTAAGGAATGCATTGCTTACCTGGTATTCTACATAAGCGTTCAGTCTCTCTAACATCCCCAGAACTGTGAACTCGTATGGTAAGTGTGGGGTAGCCTGCAAAAGAAAAAAAATGAAAATGATGAAATAAAAAATGAAATAATAAAAAAATTTGGCTAGCTTGCACAGTAAAATGACAGTCTCTCTCGGTCAAACTTACATTTTAAATACTGACAGTATGTTTTAAAACTTCTGAAAGTATATGTGACTCCCAAATGTTGCCCGTTAACACGGTGGAGGCTAATAACAATAATCCTAATAATGATAATAATAATAATGATAATAATGAATAATAATAATAACAATATTAATAATAATAATAATAATCCTCATGGAGCAATCCAGATGCAAATCACAACAGAGTGCTACTGGAATTCGTACACAAAAATCAAGGAAAATAATCGATATGGCCGAGCAAGAAAAAGGAAATTCCCAAATGGGACAGTGAGAACATAGAGTGAATAGCATCAAACTGCCTTAGTGGGTTTAAAATTAAACATCACGGTCTTCCGTCTGTTTGTTGTGAGAGTGTTTTTTTTTTTTCTTGATCATTACATGCAGATTCCGGATCACTCTTCATTTTTAAATTCAGAGCTACTTATTATAAAGGTAGGAAAATGCGAGTAACCAAGTCCCGATGGAGTAAAACCAATGCATTGCAAGGTTACCCACGAAACTCGGCTGAAAATCGCTCAAAGCAACATTTTGCTGCCATCATGAACATTTTATGAACTTACCTTTGATTCAAGTATATTCTTCACGGCCTCTTCGACCTCCACTTGATTTTCAATGTCAACTGTTTGGACAAATGGCATTCCAATGAATACCTCTGCGTATGGATTTTGAGATGTGATCTACAAGTATGAAAGTTATTAATTAGGTAGATAAAAGAAATGGTGAATAATTGATAAATTGATGGGAATGTTTCATTGTACGATATAACACGCGGAATACTTAACTAGGCGAGCAAAATGAAAGTTTCCAAGTCCCTAACTGATTGAAAGGTGACACATAAGGCTTCCTGGTTGAAATATTTTTGCTATATGATGAACCCTTTGACGAAGTTTTTTCGGTCAAGATTGCAATTTCTTTTACTTTGCTTTTTTATGGACCTCGACCTCGTCACGGTGCAGGAAAACACCAAAAAATACCCAACCGAAGATAATGCAGTAAATGGTTTGAACCCGGGGGTAACATGTGAAGGTGTAGTCTGATCGTCCGGGTGAGTGTAGTCCTGAGAAGGACTGTTGTCGGTGGCAGTGACTGACGTTTCGACAACCTGTGCGGAAGTCATCATCAGAGTCAAGTGTCACTTGTGAAGTGTCACTTGTCAAGTGTCATCAGAGTCACTTGACTCTGATGATGACTTCCGCACAGGTTGTCGAAACGTCAGTCACTGCCACCGACAACAGTCCTTCTCAGGACTACACTCACCCGGACGATCAGACTACACCTTCACATGTTACCCCCGGGTTCAAACCATTTACTGCATTATCTTCGGTTGGGTATTTTTTGGTGTTTTCCTGCACCGTGACGAGGTCGAGGTCCATAAAAAAGCAAAGTAAAAGAAATTGCAATCTTGACCGAAAAAACTTCGTCAAAGGGTTCATCATATAGCAAAAATATTTCAACCAGGAAGCCTTATGTGTCACCTTTCAATCAGTTAGGGACTTGNTACATCACACAAAGCCACAACTATCAGAACTCTAACACGACGCGCACAACTAGTATGTGACTCGACAGACAGCTTATCCGACGAGAACAAATACCTTCACCGTGTTTTTACGAAGAACAACTACAACAACGACTTCATCCGACGAAACACTCACCGACCCACTACCACTACCGAAACAAACGACACCGCAACCCCTACGACTACAGCAACCATACCGTACATAAAAGGCATGTCTGAAAACATCTCGCGCATCTTACTACCCTTCAATATCCGCGTCGCCCACAAACCCATCACCACACTACGTCAGTTACTAACCAACGTTAAAGACAAAGACGAACCGAGGAACAGACAGGGAACGATTTATAAGATCAATTGTTCCGACTGCCAAGCCTCCTACATCGGTGAGACTGGCAGAAACCTCACAACAAGACTGACTGAACACAGACGGGCGACGAGGAAAGGTGATGTCAGCAATCACATTGCTGAACACCATCGACTTACCAACCACAACATTGACTGGGACTCTGCGCAATGCCTAACCTACAGCACTGACTATTTTCAACGACTGACTCTGGAAAGCTGGTTTACTAACTTAGAACAGACTCCCCTAAACAGATGTCAACAACTACCCGCCCCATACAAACGACTCATTCACGACATAAACATCACAAACGACCGAAAAAGAACAACCTAGCTTTACCGACAGACCGAAACAGACCAATCACGAACGACTTACGTCACTTGAGTCTTACAGCCAATAACATCACGGCAAAACCAACCGATCATTTCACACGAACTGGAATAAGAACATTCTACTGACAACAATCACTCACTTGACTCTGATGATGACTTCCGCACAGGTTGTCGAAACGTCAGTCACTGCCACCGACAACAGTCCTTCTCAGGACTACACTCACCTGGACGATCAGACTACACCTTCACAACCGAAGATAGTTGTATATAAGGTTTATCAAAGCTTATATCCAGCCATCTTCATCGAACAAGCTTGGTCACATATATATTTTAAAGGTAGCCCTTCCTATTTTGAAAATAAGAAATGAAGCGCAACCAGTTCAATGCTGCATGACAAGGTAAGAGTTTAGCAGCCGTACCTTTCTATCCATGGGTTTTCCTGCGAAAAATCCGTGATTAAGACGATCATAAGCCGGAGTAAACTTTAATGGAAAAACAAAATGACATGTGCTTTTTCAGAAGTCTTTTTCTATGTAGTTTTTATTCCGGTCTGACAAGTATTTATCCCCAACGCTACAAACGCAAACACGAACGACAGCGTACAAAGGTAATAATTTGGTAGTTCTGGGAATAATTATAATAGTTACTGTAATAAGCAAGCTCTTGGCAAGGTAATGATTTTCTAATATACCTTGGGATTAATAAAGAAACATCCATTGGCCAGTGCCTCAAGAGCTGCTGGTCCTTCGAATGGCATTCCAAGACCCACAAAAACCTGATTTAAAAAAAAAAAAGAAAGGGGAATATATCATAATTATCTTTATTATGTGGCTTAGGCTTGTTGCCGATATAACGCGAGCTCTGATTGGCTTAAAGTCAAAGTTGAAGTTCATTTGAAAGGGGACGAGATTCCTCTCTTTACTCGTCCTTTAAAGAAGCCGTTTTCATGTTTAATCAATTTGTTCTTTTTGGTTTCTGTTAAAAATAGAAAAAAATAGTGGCTGTTCACTTTTTACCTTACTACTTTGAAAGAGACTCAATAGCGTAGTAATGTTTACTATGCCGTGATTAACGATATAGTCTGGGACTTCATACTCGCGAAGCTCGCTCTCCTGACAAAAGAAAAGTAAATTAAGTTATAATTAGAAAACAAATTCAACGAACAATTAAGTTCATTTTACGTACATTAATCTTCCCTAGGCTTCCAACTCTGCTAAATATAAAAAAGTTGGGGAAAACCTTAAGCCGATAGCCAGTTTTTTTGGGTCAGATTTGAGTCAGGCTTTTTTTCTTGGTTTGTGTGAGTAGCAAATATGTAATATCTTTCTCTTATTCAAATATTTAATAAAAATGGTTTGAAATTGACTTATTAATATTTGATGCATGTAAGGTAATTTCAAGGGCATCAGTATAGTCTTTGAAAGCCTCATTGACGCAATTAACAAATGGTAAACACTCAAGATGCTAGAGTCACTCTCGGCTATCGCCTCGAGCGACTCTTACGCTTCTTTCGTGCTTAGCAACCTCCCGCGTGTATCCATAACTCAATAGTGTACGCTGTGGTGTTTACCATTTGTTAATTATAATGCTGGCCCTGGTTGTTTGAAGGGTAGATAATACTATCAACTGGATAAATCTCTGTCTGGTGAATAGCCCAGTACATTTTGTTTACGCTTATCCACTGGATTGTGAGTTATCTATTGGATAGGGCTATACCCCTTCTGAACAACTGGACCCTGATGGATTACATTTTACATTTGATTAAATAGGAAAGCCTTTCCATGAAGCGGTGTGGGATATTGAAGGCTGTGCAGATGTCACAGATTATTATGCTGGTCTTGCTCCAACCATTAGTGGCAAGCACATTCAGCTTCCTAATGGGTCTTTTTCTTACACAAGGAGAGAACCTTTAGGAGTGGTCGGAGGTAAGGATAGGGGCATGGGGGGGTTCTGAATACCACAAAACTGCAAACAAAAAGGAACAAATACTGCATCACCTTTAGAAATGTTATTAACACACTGACACAGCAATATAGTCTCAGGATTTACCTGCTCTGGTCTCACTCATCTTTACCATGCAGTGGTCTTAAGCTGGCTGGTAGTGCATGTGTTAGTGGTCCAGAGCTCAATTAAAATATAAACGAACACGGCCTGGGGTCAATCAGCTAATATTTATTAAATAATTTGTATATATCAACAAAGTTGAAGTGATAAATTGGCCACCGTAACGATTACAAAAGCTGACGTTTTGAGCGTTAGCCCTTTGCTCCAACGAAGGGCTAACGCTTGAAACATCAGCTTTTGTAATCGTTACGGTGGCCAATTCACCACTTCAACTTTGTTGATATATCCAAATTATTTCGTTACTCCCACCGATGCAGCCCCAAACAGTTTCTTTCGAAACTATCAGCCTTTAATATTATTTTATTAAAGATTTGCTTGGATGCATTGTTTGTTTTGTTTGACAATTAACCATAGATTACTAGTTTTTAAGAAGGGTTAAAGAATAAACTGCTACACCAGAAATGGTTTGAAATTACAAACATCATGCACTGTAAGGTTTGAGATCACCACAACACTTCAATGCAAGTTGTTTTTCACCACAATATCACATTGAAAAAAGGGTCAACACTGCAACACTGCAAACCCCAATAGCCCCCTCAGTTAAGTGATGCACAGAAAACTGAATGATTTGATTTAAAACAAGATAAATAATGGTTGTACTTAATAATGATTAGTATGATGGGGTGGAGTTTGAGCCTAAGATATTTGTCATGCAACAACCTATGGTTGAAGGAGTCTTCAATAAGTGTATTTTAACCAAATACCATAGCATTATATTATTACCCTTTCATTTACACAAAAATACAACCATTTTAGAAGCCTAGCTGTGATCGTATTAGACAGCCAGATTTTATGTTAAAGCTTTTGGTACCTCTATTTGTTTGAGAAATATAACTATTTCTCCATATGATACCTTTTCAATAGTGCCTAATGTACAGGTATTGAAAAGCAAACTTGTAAGATCCTAGTAAGCATGTGACTGTCAGCCTATCCCTGTTTACCATAGTGTGAAAATAGTAAATTGATGTTACAATTGTAACATAAACTGCTCCTAAACCAGATACCAGTCTAAGAAGAGAAATTCCCCAGGAATTCCTTAGTGAACAGTAATACCCCAG